TCATAGCGACCCTATGTACAACAGCCCTAAACCCTGCTCTATCCTGTGCCAATCTCATTGCCTCCGACACACCCATCCCGATTACCCCAGTCACTGAATCAATCCACCTCATAGAGGGTCTTCCCCTCCTGCACTGTCCCTCCACTTTGCCCAGCATGATGTTCCTCTCCAAAGACCTGTCTCTCCTTACAACATGTCCAAAGTATGTCAGGCGAAACCCCAGAATCCTTGCCTCCAAGGAGCAGCCTGGTTTCACCCTCTCTAGGATGAATCTATTTGTTTTCTTGGCAGTCCATGGTACTTTCAGTACTCTTCTCCAGCACCACAGCTCAAAGGCGTCAATTCTCGTTCTATCCTCCCTAGTCATTGTCCAACTCTCTGATGCATAACAAGTGATTGCAAAAACCATGGCCTGTATCAGGCGCACCTTAGTCTCCAGAGAGACACCGTTGCTCTTGAGTACTTTAGAGAGGTCCCTAAGCGCAGACTTTCCCATCGCAATACATTTTTGGATTTCCTGGCTACTGGTGCCAAGAGTGTTGACCGTGGAGCCGAGCAAACTGAAGCTGTGAACAATCTCAATCTCTTCGCCATCCATCCTGATGCTACCGATTGGTCCAGTGGTGAGAATTTTTGTCTTCTTGACATTGAGCCTCAGTCCATATTGAAGGCTGCAGTCCTTGACCCTCTGCAGTAAGTGCATGAGGTCCTCCTCAGTTTCAGCGAGCATGGTTGTATCATCTGCATAACGCAGATTGTTGATAGATTGTCCACGCTTCTCCTCATAGAGTCCAGCCTCTCAGCAGTCTTAAATCCTCAGCTACCTTAGAAAGTAATTTAAAACCATTAGAAAGACTAGGTTATAATTTAAGAATAAGGTAATAGTTTATGTTCAATATGTAAAGTTATTGGAATTCCTAAGTTTTAGATTTTCTGTGAGGATAGTGCCTCATCATTCTTCAATGGCTTTTAAGAATCAAGTAGTAGCTTCCCCATCCCAAAAATTTTTATTCTAAGGAGCATCTTAAGGATGACAGATGGAGAAGAGACTGAAACTGTCAATGGTGTAAGTTAGATCCACAATAAACACATTTGGTACCAGCATCAGGAGATCAGGTGATGTATTAAACTGGGAGAATCTTCATTTAGAGAACTCTCCAAATTATTGAGGAGCAATGATAGTTTGAGGACTGAAGTATGCCTTATTCAGACTATGGTCTTTTAATCACTTGCTAGGCTGCTGAGGGCTGAACAGTGAATAAGGATGACAGAAAAAAAACTGATGCCTTTGAACTGTGGTGTTGGAAAAGAGTATTAATTATCTCATGCAAACAGAACAAAAAATTATGTCTTGGAGAAGGTGCAGGCTCTATTCCTTGGAAGAAAAGATGATTAAACTTCACCTCACATACTTTGGGAATGCTGCCAAAAAAATAAACAGGTATGTCTCATAGAAAATGCAGCCAGAAAGCTCCTTGGAGGCAGCAATGATAAAACTTCATCTCACAATCTTTGGGCATATTGCTAGGATAGGCTATTCATTGGGGAAGGTGGAAGAACATGAAGGAGAAGACCCTCGACCAAGTGGACTGACACAGTGACTGAAGGGGTCAAGTATGTCAGAGATTGTGTGGATGGCACAGGATAGGACAGGGATCTAATCTATTGTTCGTAGGGTCTCTATGAGCCATAGTCAACTAGAAAGCACAAGAAGGAGGAGCTTAACAAATATTATTGTTGTTGTGTACCATAAAGTTGGAAATGAACCACAGCTAACCCTTCAGCTTGTCTGGTACAGTAAGTGGCCTCTTAGGAGACACAAAACACTGGATAAAATTCTTAGACTGATGCTATTACCTGAGGTCCATGTAAACATTTCCTCTTCACTATAAAGACTACCTGATAATGACATGGCTTATCCAGCATAAGGATTTACCTGCATCTCAAATTAGCACTTGGTGACTTTCTCAAACATTCTACTGATAGAGCTAGTCCTAGAGCTAACATGTAATACATGTGAGCCACAACACTTTTCAGAAGAGCCCCAGTCAGCACTGTACATTATTAATAAGTCAGTAATGCTGGGGATATGTGTGCAGATACACCACCGGGAAAGAAATTGTGAGAGCATACTCAGTAACTTCCAGAGGAAGAAAATGTTTTGTCAGTATTGATTTGACCTGACCAAGGGAAAGTCATCTTAGAAAGATTTGAAGTTTGTCACTAAGTACATAAGAGGAAGAGTAAGGCTGACTTCAAATAACCCCACAGTCACTTATGAACATAAACTCAACATACACATTTCAATGACAATGATTTGGTTCTATTAGTTTCACCAACAAAAGAATACAGAATGCAAATGATCTCCCAAATCAAATGATCAAACTTGACACTGAAGCACTTAGGAAATTATTATATATGTCTTTTTAGAAAGATGTATTTAAGTCATTTACATAACAACTGTTGGCATTCTGTTGGCAAAGAATTAACAAAATCATTAACCACAAAGTGAGAAAACTTGGAGAAAGGTCCAGAGAATTAAAAACCGAAAGTTATCTTTCTTCAAATTTGAAAATGATGTGCATTTTATGTTTTAAAAGGTGCTTTTAAAACAGTTCCAGATTGCATTTAAATAGTTTGTAAAATCCAAAATATTTTCTAAATATATTCTACGTGGCTGGAGGCAACATTTGGACAGCACAGAGGGGTCCTGTAGAAAGCTGTGACAGCCCTAACCTTTGTGATGGAGGGCTAAACAGCAGGTAAGAAGGCATAATAATGCTTTGTACAATTTATAGTGAGTTCAACCTAAGAACCCAGGATCCAAACTCATCTACCAAACAATGTAACTAACATAAACTGTTATTTACTTGAGGCTGGAAGCTTGGAGGAAATGAAGCTCTGGAGTCAGTATTTTAGAAACAGTCAAGCCATACTATTTAAAAAAAAATGGATGATTTTATTATATAAAATTATGATTGGCAGAATACAGAAAAAAATTCTCTCATGTTTATCTTTAGATATTTATTACAAGTACCAAGCAAAGTATAACTAACAACTAGAAGAACTGATTACAAACTACTAAAAAAGTATTCATTTGGTGAAATTATTCAAGTTATAAAATGCTAATAAATGTATTTCAAAATACATGAAGTGTAAAGCAATATAAGAAAACAAATGATGGTAAATTAATAATTTCTTTAGCAAAAACTAACCAACAAACAAGAGCACATGAAATTAGACAGAAAAGAGTAAATCAAATATATTGTTCACTGATACTATTAAACTAATTTTTCAAAAATTACTTGATTCCAAAAGAAAAATATAATACTCCAAAATTCTTAATTTTTCCTATCAATTATGCAAGAAGGATTTGGAGGCCAATCATGTACTGCAGACTCAGGTATCTTTCTAAGCATTTGCCCTGAGGGCTTCTTCGTAGCCATGAACATCACTGTTACTCCAAAGTGCAAAATCTTACCAAGAAAAGGAAAACAATGAACAATTTTACCTGCAGTAGGGCAAGAAGATTTTGTATTAACATGATCAAATGCATCTATAGTACAAGAGGAGAATAATTTGCTTTCAAAGAATTCTTTTGTACTTTAGTAAGGTGTTAGGGCAAAAATCTTACTCTAATGAAAAGGCAAATGGGATGTCACTGATAAGTTGAAATTTTTATAACAAAATTTTTTTAAAAAGAAAACCAAGATACCTAATTATTAATAATTAAGCACTTTAAAAAATATATGATAAGCAAATGATACCTATATGAGTCATACGCCAAACTGAATTGTTATTTACGTACTTTTAAGTGCTATTAATAAATACACTCAATTCATGCTACAGCTATAGAATTGAGACATATAATTTCACATTTCAGAATTCCTGAGTCTTATCAGAGGAAAACATACCCTGAAAAACAAAATAAACCCACTGGATCGTAGGACAAATAACTAAAACATGGGCATTAAGTTAATAATATATTTATAGTTTTAAAGCTGTAGACTATGGGAACACATATATGCAATTTGATGGACTTCTAAATATTTTAAAGCTTGTGTGTTATTTTTAAAAAGGCGTCTTGATCAAACAAGGCCACCCGAGTGACATCTTCAAAGATAGTAAGTCCAACACTATAAAGGACTAACATCTTTATTCCAAAGTCCAATTGTAAATATAAAAAGGAAGAAAAGTTTAATAAATTGTTTTGTAAGATTGCAGCGGGACAGCCCTTTGATGAAAGACCTAACAAGGATAAAGTCAACATAGGAAATTAGAACATGAGTTCTAATTTGAGTCACCACCCATTAAATAATTTCCCTTTTGCTTTGCATATTACACAGTGAAAATAAAAAGGCATTTTAAGAGCACTTCAGTCCCACAATGTAGGATT